TTGTAACCCTAACCCTGGGTATGGCACTACTCTTAGTTGCCTCATTCTAATGAAAGTGGAATAAAATGCAGCCATATGGGCATCAAGGCTTGGGAATGACTGCATAAGAGACGAGGTGACATAACTGTAAGCGCACTGGACTGCATGCACAGAGGTGCTGGTTTAAGACTATGCCCAGCTATATATTGTGTTGCATTCTTCAGCAAAACACTTTACTTTCAGCAAGAGTATCAGTGAGTTGTCAGAGAACCAGATGAAAAGTTGGGGGGGGGGGAGGTTAACCTTGCAATGGACTGGCATCCAATTCAAGGGGAAGTAGTACTACTCCTAGTTGCTTCATGTTACAAAAACTGGCATAAGCTCTGGTTGGATGGGGGACTTTGCTTGAGTACAGACTTAACATACCTACCTTATAGGCATCAAGGCTTGAGCAATACATCAATAAAAATACACAAAATTCAGGGATCAACAAATAACACTTAAGAGGAAGCTAAACCAAATAGGAAACTAACCTAGAAAGCAAGAAACCTGGACTTTTCAAATTTACAATACAGAAGCTTTGTAAGTAAAATTTGAACCTTGTACAGAGATGAGTTGTACCTTTGTGTGAAGTGCAAGTGGTACCTATTTGATTAGAAGTAACATTGGGTAGTTGATTGTGATCTATAACTATATAATGATTTAGTATGTATTTATCATACCTTCGTGTTGGTAATAAGTTCAATATTTTCCTCTGGAACATAGGTAATTTGACTACTGGGGCGATCACGGATGTCCACCAGAATTGCATAATTTGGCATGTTACGCCAGTGCTGAGGAACAGCAAAAAAAATTACATAATTGCATTTTAGTTTTCATCAAAAAATGATTTTACAATATCCAGTTCCTATTAAATCTTTGAATCCTTGAGAGTTTGAAGTTGCTTGAAAAGAAAGAAAATGGGGTTTAGAATCTTTAATCATTGAAACAAGTGGCACTTTGGGAGAAAATCTTCAGATTTGTGTCTTTCTCCCTTGGTGCAAAAATTGCGAATTAAACAATTCCAATTGTTTTTTACTTTTTTTTTCTCATTTTAATTCTTAAAAGAATTAAACTCTAGCCAACCTTCTTATCTCCATGATTTTGCTGCGTCCATGCCTCTGAGGCCTGAAAGAGAAGTTTGTGAGTGGTTGTTAAGAAGCCATACTTGTTTGGGAGAGGATAATGTATCCTTGCTAATTATTGTCTTTCAAAAAAAAAAATGATCAAACAATCCATCAATAATTGATCAACTTCTCTTTTAATTACTTCCCAGGGGAGGTAGACTTCAGTAAGAGAGACAGCTGAATCGCACTCGAGTTTTTCTAGTTCTCAAATGTTACTTCAAGTTACTTGACCAATACACGGTTACACTAACCTTGAGTTTCTCATCCCAGCCAATGATGACTCCACGGTAGTTCCACAATTTATGTCTAATTACTTGGCCCACATGAAATTTCACATGCTTTGGTCTGGGAGTACGAGGAACAGTTGACATTCCAAAGTGTCCATTTTTCTCCTGGAATTTAATAACTTCTTCAGCTGGACATTCACCATCTTCATCTTGCAAAATATTTATCATAGATTGAGTCCAGTTGACAACCATCTCCTGCCATGTGTTCCAATCCAGAATGTAGCCACTACTGAATAGAGTCAGAGGCTTTGATAATCTATAAACAAAACATAAACCTAATTGTACCTTTGGACAAATATTTGCTTATTATACTGTCTGTAAAAAATAATGCACTGACCAGTTTGAAGCTTCAATATTCCCTCCCAGGAAACCCACAGGCATTCAAAATTTTTCTTGCTGCAGGGCTTGGGGATTTTGATTCTTGCCTAGGTGAGGTGGGGAATTTGAATTGGAACTATCAAGTCTTCCCAGCAGAATAAATATGTTTTATCTTTTAATATGGAGGTGATCAGAGGTAAACAGTTCGCTTTCCCAAGCAGATGGCTCAGAAGAGCCATCAAATCCGGCACTCAAATCCAGCACCTGGGTGGGGCATTTGAACAAAACTTTTGCTCTGTGGGGGGCTGGAATTTGAACAAACCAATCTTCAA